ACACACACACACACACATATACACACACACATACACTCCCTCTGTCCTTAAATATTTGTCACATTTGTATTCACGAGACAAAATATCAAGTTTTTTCAATTCATTTTATTTACATATTGGTATAGAAATAAAAAAATAAAATTTACATATCAAAAGAGTATATGAAAAGTTTTTCGAAATAAGAGGTGTCAAGAATATTTTATTTTATCAAATAACCAATGAAAACGTAGAAATGAACAAAAGTTCTCGCAACTGCTGAAAAAGCAAACGTTGCAAATAATTTGGGAAGGAAGGTGTACATTATTGAGTACTACGTCTCCCACAACACACATATATATACACACAACCGGTGGCAAAGGCCGAAACAGCTCATCATCAAAGAGAAAAGTATTAAAATTTTCTCAATCAGAACAAAAAAAAAGATAAGGAATTAAAAAAATAAGTGAAAAATAAAATAAAATGGGTTCTTCTCCTCGCTCATACGCAGCTGCCATCCTCTTTGTGATGCTCTTCATCTCCACCGGTTTGCCTTCCGGTCTGCTTCCTTTACTCTTTATTATATCTTATACATAATTATTCCCTCCGTCTTAGTATATTATTACGTCTTAATAAATTTTTTGAGTCAAATTGGACAAATTTTAAGTATTAATTAGGTTCAGTATGTATGGTATATTATTTATAAATGGTGTTACTGTGTCCATCTCACTTTGGCTAAATCCACCCTTAAAGATTGACTTGCATTATTGAAGTTTTCTCTTTTGTATTTTCAAGAATAAACTTGCCAAGAGTATTTATTTATTGATGTGGCGATGTATTGCAATGCATGATAGCCACACATTTTGTGGTGGGCTAATGACAGGGTTGGGGTGGGGTGCAGGAGCGGGGTAGGGTGGGGGTTTAGGGGGTGCGTTAGGGGTAGAAAACGTCAATTTTACGAACAGAGCATTGGAAGTGTCCCAACAGTGGCACCGAAGTGTTACCGTACTCTGGTGTCACTAGAACCCCACCGCTCTGGAAAACTCTTCTTCTTTTTATTTTCATCCATCTCAAAAAAACTCTTCTCATTTTTATATTAAAATACACTCCTCGTAGATCTCTTAAATTGGTGATTGAATGGTGCAGAGATGGGAGGAGGGGTGAGGAAGATGGTGGCGGAGGGTAGGATGTGCGACTCCCAGAGCCATAAGTTCAGGGGGCCATGCTTGAGGGACAGCAACTGCAAGACGGTTTGCGAGGGAGAAGGTTTTCACGACGGCGATTGCCAGGGAGTCCGCCGCCGCTGCTTTTGCAGGAAACCTTGTTAATTAATTAGTTAATTCACGGAATGATTATGGCTGTGGAATAAATGTTCTTAATTTGCAATTAATAAGAGGACGACGCTCGCCACGCTAGCTACCTAGATGATGATAGCTGGCTGGCGAGCTTAGTTCCCGTCTTTGAAAACCAAACATGTCATGTGTTTGGTTTTTTAAATTACTTTTTATCTCCATGTATTCGCCTCCCTATTATTAGCTTGTTTGCTCTTAATATATAATAATAATAATTCAATTTCCATTTGTCAATAGTTAATTTTTTGTTATGTTTTAGGAGAATTTATTTAAATAGCATGTGACTTTTTTAATGTAGTATATAATATATTTTTATTTCTTAATGCAGTACCATTGTTCAATGTTCACTGGTCTTTGTTTAAATAAATGTTCATCGTCATTGGGCATTATTTAAAATAAATGCAATCAATCACTAGACATTGTTTCTACTAGACATTTTTCAAGTATTAGTTAGGGAATTAAAAAATTTAAGTGGTACATTGGGAAGTGACTTATGTTTTGTTATTTAGTGCAAATTTCACTATTTTTTATTCAGGGAATTTGAGAATTAAGAGAAAAAGGGAGATAAATGAATTTTTTTGGTCAGGGGAAAAAAGAAAATAAAAGAAAAAATGATCTGAAAAACAAAACCACTTTCTTCGTGCCCAATTTGTGAGTTTTGGAGATATGATATCTAATTAAGAAACCTAAGAGAAATGATATATATAATGAAATTTGTAATGAATTTTTTTTGGGGGAAATTTAAAATTGTGATTCAATTTGTGATAGGCGGGGTGGTTGGCGGACATGAATGGTTGCTGATTGTGAACCCAATTTGTTAATCCAATCGTTGTTCACTCATATGTTGTTGTATCACGAGTGGAGACAAATAGAATACTACGTATTAAAAATATTAGTTCTAAATGATAATGGACACCCTTGCTATCATACTAAAAATATATTTATACCCGGAAGGCTTTCAGAAAATTTAATATTTAAACAAAGTTTGTTGAGTAAACATTCAATTCCTCCAATAGTATTTATTCTATTTTGGCTTCTTTGTCTATAATATTAAAAATCATGTAAGAAATATATTTTCCTTGTTCTATAAAAATATTACATTAAAAAAAATACCCGAAACACTAAAATTTCCTTCGACCTCGTGCGTGGCACGAGTAGAAATACTAGTTTTGTTATAAATTTTAGTTGTGGTTTTACTTTTTAGTTTTAATATTTTCTTTTTTGTTCTTCAATTTTTAGTTTTAGTCGTTGACTTTTTTATTTTAATCTTTTTTTCTAGTTTTAAATATTAGTTTTCACTTTTTTCTTAATTTTAATTTTTTAGTTCTATACCTTTTTATTTTTAATTTTATTTTTTCATTTATTCGTTGATGAAATGTTCAAAAAGTTCAAGAAAATAGATTGGAATAAATTGTTAATGTAATTATGCACTTTTAATTTAGTTATTATCTTCGTTTAATGAAAAATATAATTTGATTTTTTAGTTTAAGTAATTTAACGACGAAGGTTGCCCCGCCACCTCATATCGCGCACGCCCTTCTCATCACGGGACATACCGCATGGGCTTAGGCTCGAAACGATTGGCATTTTGTACTTGGGCTTAGGGTTGGGCCGTCCACCACACCCCACCTTCATTTCCTATCTGAGCATTCTAAGGCCATAAAGAAAGGCAAGATGAATGATAAGTGGGCTGCATGTGGGCCATTAAGAGGCCCATTGAGTGATCGTCATCTACTTGTCCCAAGCTTTTGTTTGAAGAGCTTAGGACAAGTAGATGACGATCACTCAATGGGCCTCTTAAATTGTCTGTTTGTCTTTTTTCTCCGTTCCAAAATAAGTTGCCTGTTAGTTGTTATCGTAAACTTTTAAAAATGAAATACCTAAACTACTCCTAAAATAAGTCACTCTTATCTTTTAATTCATCGTCACCCCTCCTAAAAAATCAAATAGTCCAATAAATGACAATATTTGATCTTGAAACTTGTTGATAGTCATTACAAAATATAAGACTGTTGAATTTCCCTTTTTGGAAATCCAAGTCCTCTTAGTACCAAAGTTAAATTCCCAACCATCTAAGCTAGAGAGCTTTTGTGTTACAAGTTCACTTTAATAATATTTAATATTTTATTAGTAAAAAAATGTTTAAAGATTTCCTTTCATTTTAAAAAATTTTTAAAAATATAATATTATAGCTATTATTTAAACTCAGAATTATTGATATAATTGATAGTATCACAAAATGCATATTATGCAAAGATTTCATTTCAGTGTTGACAACTTATTTGAAAAAATTAAAATCAACTCTTTGTTTATAAAATTTTTAACATTATATATATATATATATATATATATATATATATATATATATATATATATATATATATATATAATGTTTAAACTAGCAGTTCGACCAGTTAAACCACTAGTTCAACTAGTGAACCAGTGAACCAATACCTAGACCGGTTCGATCATCGGTTTGATTCTAAACTATGCTTAGAACTACTAAATCGTTCCACATGCACCATACGTAAATTTTACTTTCAAAAAGTAAATGCTATTTTTCAAAAGTAAGTTTATTTTGTCAAAAGATAATTACAAATGTCAAAAGTACATTTATCCTTTTGAAAATAGAGTCCTCCATGTCGTGAAAGAGGCGTGTGGAAACAGTGTATATATGGCTTAAAATGTCACTATTAATTATTAAATCTAAGGTCAAACATCATTTATTTTGTTGGTGTATTTTTGTTATTCATTTGATAAAATTTTGTAATCATGTCACGTCTAATAATTTTGTAGATCTTTTTATATAGTTTTTAAGTGTGTAATATTTATCTCTTAGTTCTATACGATTTTTTATATAAAATAATTTAAAAGTAAATTTAGTCAAACATCATAACGCGCAACGAAAATATAAACAATCTTTTTATGTTCAATTAAAAATAAACTATGCGTACATACTCATTCAAAATAAACGACATGACGAAATGTGTGCACACTACCATGTGTCACATGAGACACATGTGATGCTATTTTTTTACATTGAGTGATTATAATTTTTATTGTATTTTGTATAACATTCTATCCGTCAAAATATTTTGTCAATTTATATTTTACCATTGTAAAATATATTTAGCTGCATATTGTTTTATTATTTAAAAAAGAGTTATGTGACTTTTTTGTAAAAAAAGACTAATTCAAACTTTTTTATTTTTATAAATCAATGTTTTGTGTAGCCTTAAAAGTTAAAACTCTTCACCTTTTCCCAATTTTGTTAATTTTCATAAAAAATGCCAATGTAGTTTAAAAATTGATGCACATTGCATGCATCTTTCTATTTACACCACATTTTTTTATTTTAAAAATGGATTTAGATATATAAAAAAACTAAATAAAATTCATACAAAAAATTTAGTTTATATTTCACAAAATAAAGAAAATAATAAATAAAAAAATTCATACAACGAAGTGACAAATACTAAAACTATGTTAAAACATACATAAACACGGAACAAGATACGAATAAAAGTTTAATGTAATTGACTTTAAGCAAAATTAACTTTAAAGTCAAAAGTTTTGACTTTATGCTTACGGAGTGCAATTGACGTAGGTGAGGTGATGAGTTTGGGTCGGGACTTGGCGGGGGGGTTTACCGGGGGGGTTAGGGGGGGTAGGAATCATCAATTTTATGAACGGAGTTTCGTAGGGGGACAGTGGCTTCCGTGGCCACTGGATTCCAGTGGCCATGGAACCGGGTCGTTGGGAAAATACCTTATTATAAAAGACCATTTTGGGAATTTACTCTAGTTTTTAACAAAATATTATTTCAAATGCTCGTAAATCTATCTACAAGAAGAAAATAAAATTCAAGTAAAATGCATCTCACACATACTTCCTCCGTTCTCAAAACACTTCTTCTTTCATTTTTTCCACTTCCAACAAAACACTTCCACATTTCTATTAAAAAACCCTTTTTACCCCTATTTTTTCTTGCCCTGCCTATTTATTTCATCATCATACTTTTTCTCTAATAATTTATTCATCACATCAAGGGCGAAATTGGAAGTCGTCAACTACAGTTTAACACTTTCTTATTTTACCACTCGATCAAAAGTGGAACTCTTTTCAAGACCGGAAGTAGTAATAAAATTGGACCGAATTTTTCAAAATAAACTTATTAAGTCCTTGATATAAAAAAAAATATAAATAAACTCAATATATTTATAAAATATTATTGATGGAAACTCGAGAAACAATAAATTTTAAAATTGGGGAATAAGGGGCATATAGCTTAGGGAGTAGTAGTATATATAGACCTAGCTATTGCATGCCAAGGCCGAAAGACCAAAGAGGAAGGAAAATATATCCAAAGCTTTTCTGGTCATTTCTTTCTCTCAACTCAAACAACAAATTAAAAAAAAAAAGGGTGGTCGTCGTCTTCGCTCATCATCATACGCAGCTCTCTTCTTCTTTGTGATTTTCTTCATGGCCACCAGTTTGCCTTCCGGTATGTATGTAGGATCTATCCCTCCATTCCTTAAAACAGTTCCTGTTTTGACTTGGGAGAGATTTATTTTCGTAATTTGATCTTCTAATTATTATATGCTTATCATTAAAGAAAAAAAAGAGACAAATTATTTAAATGACTTATTATATGAATGCAAACTGAATGAAGTATATTATTGCAATAACTTAATTTAGATATATGAGTCATTTTTGTTCAAAAAAGGATGTGTTTTAGGGAAAACGAAAAAAATGAAAGGGAAACTGTGGAGGTATTAATTAATCTCTTCATGATATGCATGCCTTCTTCAATTCTTAGCTTATAAATTGCTCTTCTTCATCATATCACAAACTTCCCATATATGTAAGGGTCATTAGTTTTAGATTCTTTAATTTATTGAAGTTATAATTTTACAATTAATTAATTGCACAAACAGGATTTAATTAATACTAACACGTACTCATTCCATCCGTTTCGCAAAAGATCAGAGTTCCGTATTTTTTAATTGCTCTGGAGTATATGCTCGTGTTTTCTTGTATATTTCAAGTTTTTACACAAAAACATTAATCAATAGAATTAACTCCAAATACATATGGTAAAATTTGCATTTAGATAGGACTAAAACATAAATTATTTTATAATGTATGATTAATAATATGAGCACGCACATACAGAGATGGGAGGTGGAATGAAGATGGTGGCGGAGGGGAGGACGTGCGAATCGAAAAGCAATGCGTTCAAGGGTGCATGCTTGAGCGACACCAATTGTGGGAATGTTTGCAAGAACGAACATGGGGGTTTTACCGGAGGAAAATGCAGAGGAGTCCGTCGCCGTTGTTTTTGCACAAAAATTTGTTAAATTAATTAATTAGGGCCAGGCCGGTCCTAATTAATTAATCGGCGCGGATGATTGACATGAATATGTGTTTTTAATTTGGTTGCTACAAATAAGAGACCGTTAACCAGTTACATATATAATATAGCTGGCTAGCGGGCTCACTTGAAAAGAAAAGGCCAAACATGTTTTCGTTTTTTTTTTCCTTTATTGCCGGTGCTTTTATATGCATGTAATCGCAGGTTTGTTTGGTATTTGCTTTTTTATTTGTTTCTCACAAGTGTTCTTAATTATATACCGAGTAATATTAAATCATCCGTTATTCAATTATGTATGTCTATGTAGCCTTGAGTACGTGTTAGTGTTTAATGCACTTATAAATTATAATGCATGGTCAAATAGTGACTTTTTTTACTACAAATTAAATATAATCTAAATGAATATCAAAATTATATCTTAAGATAAATCAAATTATGTTGAACTTATACTATACTTAAATATACTTTTCTTACAATTCGTGGTAAAAAAGTGTCACTGTTTGACTAAAAAAATCAGAACAGAAAAGGTTTTAAGGACTAATGGAAGTAGTGTATCTATTTATATTTTTTTGATAAGAGCACTGTAGGCGTTGTTGTCATATTATGATAACAAAAGTTGTCAAAAGAATCAGAGTGTGATTATTATATTATTATTATAGATTTATGGTTTTAAGAAAAAATAATAATTGAGTACTATATTGAAGATGTAGAAAAAGAAAATCATTAACAATAACCAATTAATATTTTGCTCCCATTAAAAAAGAATTTAACCAATTATTTTTTAATATTCTTATTATGTTCACATTTTTACAATTTTCGTGAAGAAAAAAAATAGTTTTTTATATGACGGAGAGGATATTAATACTCTCTTCGTTTCTTAAAACACTTCCTCTTTTATTTTTTGTCTTCCAAAAACACTTCCACTTTCTATTTGAAAATCATTTTTTGTTGATGATTTTAGTGTCATCGGCTATTTTGTGATTGGATTTACTTAGACCACACAAGAATTTGAATGGACATTTTCAAACGAGTTAGATGGTGTTTACACCTCACGCTAGGCCGCTAATTGTTGAGTATGAATGCTTATCTAATTTGTTGACATCCCGTACGAATTTGGAAATATGAAATTATGAACTTGAATACGGATATGCTACCTAGTTTACGTCTGTATGTATGCGTAGTCGAAACGTTAGATATTTCTCACTGAGTTTCAATTCTGAGCGTGTAGCCTTTTTTCCTATTTATTACACGTAGGTAACAGGAATGATGATTAAGAAATTAAAACAGTCTTGGAGGGCAGCGAGGGCAAAAAATTGATGAATGCTAGCTAGGGGTGGATACAGTACGGTTCCGGTACCGCCACCCCTTGGTACCGGTACCATGACCGGACCGGCCGGTACCGGTTCCGGTACCCGGACCGGCGGTTCCGGTACCGGACCGGCCACCCCCAAATTATTTTTTTTTTGCTTTTTTATTAAAATTTTAAAGTGTAAAATTATAAATGTACAATTGTTAAAAGAAAGAATGAAATAAAAAATCTAAAAATGCAATTTATAAAGGAAAGAATGAAATAAAAAAATTTAAAAATGTAATTGTTATTTAAATATGTCTCCCCCACTCCCCCACCCCCCACTAACTTGTTTAGTTGTTTTACTACTTTTTTTTGCAGGAATTGCTGCCTTGCTGGAGCTGGAAGGGCTGGACCGCTGGAGGTGGAGGCTGGACAAAAAAAAAAGAATAAGGTACCGGAACTAGAACCGGAACTGGTACCGAAAAATGGGTACCGAAACTGGTACCGTGGGGGCGGAACCGGTACCGGTTCCCAAAACCGGTACCGGTTCCCGGAACCGGTGGAACGTCCCGGCCGGCGGTGATGGTGGCGGGTACCGGCAGTACCGTTGCCGGTCACAGTACCGTACCGGTGCCGTGTCCACCCCTAATGCTAGCTGGAGGAGTTTATTAATTAGGAAAATGCTAGGGTGCCACCACATGGGTGCACCCATGTGGTGGCACCCTAGCATGGTCCTATTAATTAATACTCTCTCCGTCCCAGAAAACCTTTCTCCTTTCTTTTTTCATCCGTCCCAAAAAACACTTTTCATTTTATTAAAAAGGCACTTTTACCTCTTACTTTTTCCTGCCCTACCTATCACATCATACCTTTTTACTAATAATCTATCCATCAAATCACACTTTTACCCATCACATCGAAGGACATTTTTGGAAATTCAATACCAAAATACACTCCCATTAAATCATCCTTCAAAATCAAAACTCCCAGGTTTTCCGGGACGGAGGGAGTATTTAAATTTAAATTTATTATGTTTTAAGGGCAAGAACCCCAAGTTGTAATTTGAATCAAGTATTTAAAAGCTTCCGCACTTTTTTGTTAACTACGATGGATTTATGAATATTGTTTTTGAATTAAATGTTTTAACTTGTCTTGAAAAATATTTGTTTGATGCCAATTTAGTAGCAATCCGGTTCGCTAACTCGTTGGTTCGAATTACGTGGGTTGGAGTGTTACAGTCACACTATTGATGAAATGATGAAACCTTTTGTTAAGCTGCTTAATTTAAAGAATTTTTCAGCTTTTTCAATTTGTTTATCACTTGATACATATATCTTCCTGGCTTGTCTTTCTCACATAAGGATATTTTAAAAATTGGGGTCAAGTTCCCACATATCACAATAATACTTGAAATTAATATTCCTCCTTTCAAGATTATGAGTTCTTAATAGGAAGAGACAGCAATGGTCTGATATTCCTTCTTCAATAACCTGGACTTTATTTCCAAATTGAATCATTTAATCTATATTTGACAGAGCTCTGTCCAATCTAGAGAAGATTCTCTTTCCATCCAATCCCATGTTTATTACTCCAAGTATAGTAGCTTCCTTCCATGAAATTATCTCCATCCCACAAGCCAGCATACATTCTTTAAAATCTTTTGTTTCTTCTTCAGTTATGTTGTTACCCCCCCAATCATATCTTTCAAGTAAAGTAGAGCACTGAAATCAGCAATAATCCCCCAACTTATCTAGATAGCCCCAACAAATAGAGAATTAATAAAAGATCCCCAACCTTGAAATAATTTATTTTCAATCTCCCAAAATTTATTCTCCTTTATTTTAGTTTCAAGAATTCCAAACCAACCAACTTCATATTTATTTACTACTCTCTTGACTTCCTCCTGTAGTTCAACCCCCTAATGTTCCCATAATCAATCATGATAAAAAAAGGATAATGCCGACTATATGGGGCATTCTCACAGATCTTCATTAGTGCTGCAATACATGATTCCTCTTTTCTTTCAATAATCTTCTGCTTACCAGCCTTTTTACCATTTTCCTTTTCTATTTCTTTGTTGATTACTTTGTCCTCTTCAGGGTTTAGTTCTCCATTTTCCTTTAGAGTAGTATTTGGCTTTCAGATCAGCTTCTTTCTAACAGTGGTATGTTTATCTCCTTTCCTTCTACAGGTTTCCTGCATGTGTCCCAATTTCCCACAATGGGAGCATATGCAAGGATAGGATAGGATACTAGACCTGGAAAAACGGTCGGTCAGGTCGGGTTCGGGTTTGGTATAATCGGGTTCGGGTTATTTCGGGTTCGGGTCACTTCGAGTTCGGGTCTAAGAGTGCTTGTTCATGACCCAGAGTTATCGGGTTCGGGTTGACCCAACGGGTTAAGAGGCGTATTTAAAAATTAAAAATTTTGCTATTTAGAGATCATGTGATCCGAGCATTATTCAAAACAAAGAACGAAATCATAAAAGTTTGCACTTCTATTTGCAACATAGCAAAAGAGAATTGCAATATACCCAAAAAATCACCTTTTTGCAGCATACCAAAAAAACTGCACTAGATGAAAAAAATTGAAGATTCTTTCAACATACCCAAAAATATATATACATTATAAAAAATTGAAATTCTCGCATCATACCAAAACAAAAGAAAAGAATTAAAACTTGAGTTACACGTAGGAGCAACTGAAGAGGATGAAATAGGATTAAAAATTCCACTATTGTTCTGGTGTATTCTCACCATTTTGATTGAGTTGGCATCTAATATCAACGAACGGTGGAAGAGTGGGAGAACTATGTGTGTGTGTGTGTAACGCCTTTTGAGTTTTGAGTAGCCTAATGGGTATATCATATTTTAAATGAATATATAAAACTAAATAACTAATAAAAATAAACAATTAAGTGCATAACCCGTCGGGTCAAACCCGACCTGACCCGTTCTGACCCGAAAATTTAACGGGTCTTCGGGTTCAGGTCGCAAAATCAATGTTCAAAACCCACTAATTTCGGGTCGGATTTCGGATTAGTAACGGGTCGTGTCAAATTTTGCCAGGTCTAAAAGATACCATTCATATGATATCTGTTGATTCATCACCCTTTCCTCATCATCTATGAAATTAACCATGTGTGGGAATTCTCGTTGTAATTTAACCTCCATTTGTTTCTAACATAAAAATAGTTCGTCTTCTTAGCAGTACACTAGGGGTGTAAACGAACCGAATCGAAGCGAATATCGAGATATTTGAATTTGTATTTGCTTAATTTTTTCGAATACGAATCCGAATCCGAATATGAAACGAATTAAAAATAAGATTTGAATATGTATTTGATTAATATTTGAATACTTGACGAATCGTAAACGAATATTTTAATAATCATACTGCGTAATTTATATAATAGACCAACATAGATTTTGAATAATTTAACTTATAATACTTCTTATACTATATCTAAAAACGTTAATGCATTTTTATCTTACACAAATTATTTTTTATAAAATATAACTATTAAAAATCATACTACGTATGTTTTAGATTTTGGTGTTACGTTAATTTGTTGAATTAAATACATTTTATACTATATTACTTTGTTTGACTATATTCATGTTTAAACATGGTTTGTGTGTATATACATTTATTCGAATTTTCGAATATCACTCGAATCGAATATACTCTTATTTGTATTTGTTTAATATTCAAATCAAAACTGATATTTGAATTTGTATTTGTATTTGAATAATGCGAATTCAAATCATTGTATTCGAATACAAATCACGAATCGAATTAAAAGTATTTGATTTGTTTACATGCCTAGCAGTAGGTATGTCTCGCTTAATTGGTCTCCCTACAAGGCTCCCAATCTTACTTAGCCTAGTTAGGCTCTAGTATTTCATATCCAAGTCAGAGAGTTGAATCCATATAGGAATGTCAACAAGATGTTCAAGCTCAACCTTCACCCTAGGATACTAATTCTGAACTAGGACTGACT